TTGTATCAAAATGTATTTTCAGCGTTTAATGAAGTCAGTGCTATTGAGCTAAGTTTTCTGTCACTATTACATGTAAATTTTCTTTAAATTTAGAATATGACAGAAAACCTACAAATTTTTGCCATACCCCCAGTAATTTAAGGTAGAATGCTACTAGTCAGTATTTTACATTGTTAGTTCTCGTTCGGACGCAGTTCAAAAACGGGGACTTATGTTTTACCTCCGTGCGTGCGTCCAGACCTGTATCTTAGAAATGCCTGGACCAATCACAATCAAACTTCACACATACATCATACATGATATTATACATATGCACGTAAATTTGTTTCACGATCTGATTCAAGATGGCCGAATGGCGGTCATTTTTGTGCTAAAAATCATCAAAATCAAGCATTTTTCAACTGTTTACAGATGGATTTTGTTCAAAACTTGGTATTTATGTTTGACATTATATAGGACCTTCGATGCATTTTGTTTTTCAGATAAGTTTCAAAATGGCCGACTGAATGTGGTTCTAGTGCCTTATCTCTGACTTGCTGTGACTGATTATGTTCAAATTTTAAATATTCATTATACATATAGGTATACAAAATGGCTGATTTTGTTTTAATTAATGCTCTTCCAGAGAATATCTCTCAATACTCGTTTGACGATCAGATACAAATGTCAATCATTTTAATGTTAAACAATCATCATAATCCTGACATGGTTATATTCCAGCTATATTACTATAAACAAAACTACAGTATATATCTTAAATTCGATAACTAACGGGAACTGTGCCATGCATGGCTTGTTTTATCGTATAATCTCTAATACAAGAGTCATTTTTCGAACATTTCAATCTCTTCCTAATGCCTAAATTAGAGTCTGATTGAGGTTTTTCTTAGTCATTGACGCCTGTTCAAGAGTTTTATGTTTATTCTATGCTCAGTTTATTATCTTTTGAAAACAACTAATTTTCTTGATTTAAAAAAAGAAATCATGCAGTTTTCCTAATGAATCGAAGCCAAAAGATCGCACTACAACATCGCCAATCCGTGTTGCGTTTGCCATGAAGTCGCTTCATATTTAAATGAGCTATGGTAATTTAAACATGTTGGCACCATCCAGCATTTTGATTGCTTAATTAGCAACTTGATCTATCAGGTCAAAGAACACAGTTTCAGGCCACGCATGTGCATGGAAAAACATGGCGAATATCGTATCACATTGAGCATATACATGCGACTCAAATTATTCGCTTTATACAGTAAAACTAAGTTAAATTTTATTAGCATTTCAAAACAATTCACAAAATTTGTGAATTTATCACAACTGAGTAATACTGTAAAGGGGGTAATTATTCACTGGGTTTTAATTTTGCTTATTTCGCTGACTGGAAAATGCGCTAAATTATAACCCAGTGAATATGTAAAATTTAAAATAAAACAAATTATCTAAATGATAAAATCGTGAATTTAAAACCCACTGAATATGCCTGAAATGGTAAATCAGTGAAATTTAAACCCAGTGAAAATTAGTCATTTTACAGTAATCAACAATTGCAACACTTCGGAAACAAGTAAGTTGTGAAACACAGCATGACCGGGTTGCGCTACTGTACCGTGATAATTTGCTACTAAGCAATGCATTCATGTTTGTTTTTATTCAAAACTTCTTTTAAAATATACTTTTCGTTACCAACAAAATTAAAAAAAATAATGCATATTACAGTCTTTTTTGTTATCCTGTGATTGACTGTAAACCAAATTAAGGCTTTTCACTCTTCCCTGACGCCTAAATTAGAGTAACATATATGTATTACAATAGTTTGCATCTAAATCTGTCTATAATTATTAGTTTTAGTATTAGTCAAGTATATGAAATTTGTTGGTTCACTGTCAATCTGTTTTTTTGTTGAGAAAAACAGTAAGATCCACATGAAATGTCATTTTAGCAGCTGTTTCCATGGACCACAATGAAAACACATTTCTTTGTTAAAAATACATAAAACATATTGTACTAGTAAATTTTTACCTCCGCTGTCGACAAAGTCGACACAGCGGAGCTGTCCATATTACTGATTGTCCCTAGTCATCGTCAACTTTACAATTTCAACTTCTTTTTCGATACCACAAGTCAGAATGTTTTCAAATTTGATATGCAAGTATCTTGGATGGTTCTTTCTCAGATTTGTTCAT